TAAAATCGTTTCTTTAATAGTTTTATGGTTTAATGGAACAGTACAATAATAGCATTTAGCAATATAAAAATCTCATTATTTACTTATTTAAATATTATGTAGGAATATTTAAGTACATTTTATAATACCTAAAAAGTTTCTGAATAAAAAATGTTTCTATGACTAAATACTCAATTGAGACAACAGATTAACAAAAGATTTTTAAAAAATCTCTGGGTCCAGTTTTTTTTTTTTGATAGGCTGACGTCTAGGTCGTATGCAATGATGCGGTCTACGATGGAGCACGTCGCATAAGCAATATAGGTATACATTTTCTTAATCTTAGTTTTTGACAGAAACTTGACATTCCATAATGTTTTGTAAGTAATCAATCTCTTTCGTATTAAGTAAGATCACTTTCAGCCATAAAAATTTTTGACAACAAAAATTGCATTTACGCGCCAAATTTTTGACAGGCATTACAGATAAAAAAGGTTAGTACTTTAGGCTGCAAGCACAATAAACAAATGTTTATGTAAACTCAAACTCAAAGTCTTTATTTGCATGTTAAGGTAATTTAGGGCACAATAAACAAATCCATAATAAATATAAGCAGTTCAGTGATAGAAACAATTTTTATAACGGTCTAAACTAGATGTAACCTTACATACTTCTTGAAACGTAATTAAAAAACGGGAATGCTATTGAATGAAACTGAGATTTATATTAAAATACTAAACACACGTTATTATTTTTAAGAAAGCAACTATAATATTATTTTCCAATTTCCCTTCGAAGTAAATCTTTTGCATGCAACAGTTAAGATAATCTATTGTTTAGTGTTGTCATATAATGAAATATTTGACAGTAACTTTAATCGACACAACCGCCATCTAGTAATAGCAGAAACAATATTTTTATAGCAGCTTTGATTTAAACATAAAAACTCGATTTCTTTTGATTATATCAGTAATAAACCCAACACAAATTCAATTCACAACAAAATTTTGAAAACAAATGTAAATAAATACATATTTTAGTAATTAAATATTGCTATTTATACACAAGGCCTATATCTAGACTTTTAAATTGTATACATACAGTACTAAATTACATTATATTATACGACTTACGCACGTAACTATTTGACGAGATTACTTGCCAACCCACATTGAGCAACCGCATGCTTAATAGTAATGCTCAAACCTTCTCCGTGAGAGAAGAGGTCTTTGGTCAGCAGTGGCCACTTATAGGCTACTATGTTGAGGATAATTATGGATAGTTGAGTAAACATGTCGAATAGTTACTTGAGTATGCCGTATCACATAATTAATTGAATATATCTTATGATAGCTATAATACAAAACTCACTGGTATTGACAAAACCTTGGTTATCGTTTACCTATGCGAAGGGCCTGCAGACGGCAAGCATGGGTAGTAGACCCGAGTGTAGCGCACCTCAAAGCGAAAGACCCATCAGACTACCACGGATGGGGCCCAATACGGAACCGCGGTCAACGTAAAAGGTCACCGGGGCTCCGGCTCGAAGTGCAAGAGTAGGAACGGGGTGGCGTTTAGTCAGTAAGAATCTGTCACTACTTCCCGCCTTACCCAGGCGGAAAAAGTAATTTGATGACTTTTCCCCCTTAAAAAAATCGTCTACCAATAGGTACAGATTTACAGAAACTATAATAATATACCTTTCCAAGCTTTTAATTGCAAAATATATTTAAACAAAAACTTTTTCGAGACGGCAAAATAATCCAATGACTTCTCCCGCCTGGGTAAGGCAGGAGGTAGTGACAGACTCTTACTGACTCAACACCACCACGTTTCTACTCCTAGATTGCCCTCCACTTGCAGGTTTGGATATTAAAACAAAAGCGAAGGTTTGCATATAATTATAACTATTACTATCGATATTCTCCAGTCCATCTTCTAAAAACATTACTATACAAATCTCCCGAAACTCGATAGCATTGCCATCTATGATTCGAAAATTCAGTACAGAACTATTCTTATGACCCCTAAATGTAGGCTAACGTTTTCAAACAAGCTTAGCAATAGTTATTGTGATGGATTAAGAAACAAAATATGTAATAAGATGCTAAAAGACAGATTCAATGACATACCTACTTAAAAATTATTGTGATGTTATTTGGAATCCAAAATCCAATGTTATTTTTTAAAAAAACAGGATTCAATTAATATTGTAGGCACTGGTATCAGTGCAAGAGGACCGGACACAAACGGATTTTGTCGTTGTTATTTATTTTTATGGAATAGGAGGCAAACGAGCAGACGGATCACCTGATGGTAAGCGATCAGCGCCGCCAATGGACACCCGCAACACCAGAGGAGTCACAGGTGAGTTACCGGCCTTTTAAAAAGGAATACGCTCTTAATATTTAATACGTTATTTGCCTTGTTTCACTAAAGCCAATCCGATTTAAAGTAAGCGACGCGTTCGACGCTCTGAATAGGGTTGGTTCATTGAAGCCGGTCAATCAGAGCGATGAACGTGTACTCGTTTCGATTACTTTAAGCTTTTAACAAACTCGTACTAAGGCATCAGATAATTGTTTATTGTCGATGCGTACCTAATTAAATTTAATCGACAGAAGCAACAACAACAACAACGGTGTTCATGGGAAAAAATTAACATATATGGTGTATAAAAGAAAAAAATACAAAAATATTTGACTAGATAAATAATCCGGTCCCCTACTTATAAAAATTTTGAATTTTCTAAAGAATATAACCACTAAAATTAATACCTTTTTGCCCCTTAAGGGATAGGCAGATCATTCGACATCAAAAACACGGATATAACATAATTTCCTCGTACATAAAAAAATCCGCGATTAAAAAAAACATAATAATTATCTTAAAACAACAACTTTATATCTACATTAAAGACTTTTTGCGCGAAAAACGATACCAAATCGATATACCTATAGGTGTAATTTCCGTTTATGATAAAGTAATGACGTAAAAAAAATCATAATTACATTAATACACTTAAATTATGCAATTTTCTAAAACGATCTACCTAATATTTAGTAGGTAAAAAATTATAGACAATTAAAAAAAAACTAAAGAGCTTCTGTTATGTATTTTGGCAGTGTAACAATAAAAAATAGACACTACTCGAGAAAAACCTAAAAAAAAAACAAATCAAAAGCCAAACAAATAGAAAAGAAAACAACACTTTCTAATTTTAAATTTAAATTTTCGTAACTTTTAACAGAGGCAGTGTACAGTAATAACTTCGCTATTTTATCGTGATTATTAGATACGCCATCGATATTTTCATTTTTTTTATAACAATAAAGCGCACTTTTAAAAACTCTATTTACAATATTTACAAAAAGAAAATCGATTTCTTAAAATGAATTAGATAATAATCTAAATACTTAGTTATATCAATTAATATTTATCTACAAAGATTTCAATCATTTTTATCACAATATTATATTTTTAACACTGATTTCAGCATATAGCTTCGAAAAATTCGTAATCGTGACCTAACGAAAGGAGGTTGCTAACCAAACAGGTTCAAAACAAGATTCACAGACGACCTTGAGATTAAAAGCGAAATTCTGGCGGCAATATTTGACAGAATAAAAATTCGAATTTCAAATAACTTTGACACTTAAAAACAGGTTGTCCATAGTGAACGGAAAACTGGTACCGACCTCCTTGGAATTATTATTAGTTGACATAAATTATTTATTATTGAAATAGGTAGGTACAGCTTTATTTCTTTGTTAGCCTTGCTTTGGAAAAATCTAACGGATTGATCGAGAAGCTACATTTTTATTAACTATCTCTGGCACCCATATTTTTACGATTACAGAATAAACTTGCAGTTATTCCACTTTATTTTACTTTGTTTGGACTTCAAAAGAGGCTCTCCCATCTGAGTTGGATCATGTCTAATGAAACTGCAGAACCTACAGAAACAAATGCGCTTTCCCTTTTTTTTTCAAATGACGTTACATTGTGAAGCCTAATAGATTAGCGCATAGCAAATAGATTAATATTCAATTGAATTCTTATTTTAAATTACGGTTTTGAAACAAAGGAACAATCTAGATAACCAGTTTTATAATACTAATAAAATTATTGTAGATTACTTTGCGCAATAAAGAATGGTAAAGAAAATTATACTTAAGAATTTTAATCGGAGAATAAAAAAATGTGCCACATCTGATAAATGTTTAGAAAAAAATAATTAGTTATAAGCTGTGGTCATGGGATGAAATACAGATTAAAATAAATAACTGTCAAATATGCCGCCAAAAGTGAAAATTTTTAGATTGGACCTAGCAGTTTTAAAATAAGATACTTTAATTAGTTTAGTCCAGTAAAAGAGCAACATTTTTATCGGCTAAAACAAGCTACATAAATATGCGAAAATAGTTAACTAAAATTAGTTTTCTTTACTGATATTTAGTCTGTAATTTTATTATTTTCGCAATTTTACCTAATTGTAACTATCGTTCACGTATGTAGGTATGTATTTTAGCAAGCTACCAATTTAATTTCGCAATTTATTTTTAACTACGTACGTAATTAGAACTATAGACATTAAACTAATTATTGCTATAACTGGAAGTTATTACAAAATTAAAGTAATAAAGTAATATTAAAATCTTATTTAATTAATGACTAAAATTTTTAACATCACTTAGTCCTTTTAAAAAAATATATAAAAAAATATACACAATCTTGTTTTTGCAAATAAATAGACTATAGAAGGTACTTTTTAATAGAGGCATTATTGAATTTGAATTCAGCCTATCATTTTTTGTATGCGAAATAAACCAATTTAATTTTAAGTTTGTAGTTATAAGATGTCCAGTAAATATTTCGAAGCAAAATAAAAAGTCGACAGTGCCCTAGTTTAAGAAACTGAAACACTTAAATATAACACGTTGTGATCACTTGTAGAACTGAAATGAGACCGCAATATGACATTTTCGACCACTGAAGTCTTTTCACATTGCACAACACTTTTAATGAGTACCGTTAGATCCATTGGTACCGTTAACTCCATTCCCATTGGCCGTAGACTCCTGCATGCTCTTCAGATGGTACGGACTGATTGCGAAGACTTCTCCGCTGACCAGGTCCTCTAGATTCTCACCACCGTAAGATAGCAATGGAGAGATCTCTACATCTATGTTGTCTTCAACAATACCACCGGCTTCTCTAACATATTTACGGTGTAATCTTAGGAGGTCCTCCCGAGCAGTTGATGGACAGTCTTTTTTAGCGGCATCGTTGTTCTTTAAAGCGGAGAATTCCACATCTCTTGCTACTTCTAAACAGATGAAGTTCTCAGCAAATTCAAATACATCAAAGATGAATTTCTCCATCTTAATGCCATTCGGTTCTGTAGGTTTCTGACGGACTCCTTCATGGTCTACGTAAGGAATCTTCTTTTTAGCAACATGGAGTTTCAGTTTCGATTCAAAATTGCAGATTTTTGTTAAGAATTGTGATGAGAAGTAGTGGTTGCAGATGTTTCCTGCGGAGAATGTGAGTCTGCCGTCAGCTGTTCTGCTTTCTGCAGCTTCATCGGTAAGTTCAGAGTACTCCACTACCTTGTAGTGACCATTTACTCTGCAAACAACACCTACGGCTTCACTTGGTGTGGACTTCTGTACGACTTTGGCTGCACAATCAGCATTTTTGCTCTTACAGTAGCCAATAAACACTGGATCGGCCACTTTAATAAGAATATTGTCAACTGAATGAGCATGGAGATGCTCTACACCTCGTTTCGCTATATCAGCCAATACTCCCTGATTTTTTAAGGCTCTGTATAGTCCTCCGTTGCCATCCGGAGCAGATGAAACATGGTATTTCTCATCTAAAAATATTTTTCCTTCAAAATCAAAGCATGGGAGAGTTCCCTGCTCGAAGTATACAATATCTTCCTCATTCAGACCGAAGTAGTTATGACTTCTGAAATAGTCAGCGGTAGGGCCCCTCGTGTGTTCTGAAGTCATAATGTACCAGGTAATTTTTCCCTCCTTTCCATACTTCTCAGCAGCCATTTGTTGCACTCTGACAATCCTCTCCGCTTGAATTTGGAATAGAGTTTTTCTCGATGGTAAACCGACATCGTACATACCTTTCGGGTGGCCAAATCCAAGTCGAGTCGCCTGTCCACCGGCCAGCAACAAAACACCAACTTTCCCATCACTAATTTCTTTCAGACCAATATTTTCGTACTCCAAAATTTTTTCGTTACTCAAATTAGGCACTGCTTCATAATGAGAGTCCGGAATAGGCTTTAAATCTTCAACTTTTTCTTCTAGAATAACTTTACTTGTATCGTTAGCGCGGCGGAATAATTCGTTCACTTCGGCAAAATCGATTTTTTTTAAATCGCTCAATAGTTGAGCGCGCTCTTTTTCGGTGAGATCTGGCCAGTATTTTAATAAGTGGCCTTGTCCGTGAGAGTTTAGGTTTTCGAAAATGCTATCGTAAGACATTATTGTTTACGCGGCGACTGTCTACGGCGATTAGAAAGCGTACACTGACTACAACTCATGGTTACGAACGAGATAACATTTTCACAAAATTCTCCCACCACACGATTTTAACTAACTCGAATGCAGACACGTCGGCTTCATGTGACATTTACCAGACATTTTTGTATACAAATCTCATATTTACATTTTTGCGTGCATTTCGATGTGGTAATAGCAATCGTTTTTAATTTTATACAATACATTGCTGAGTTTGAATAACATTGCACAAGAATACTTCCCGCAAAACGGCATTGCATTCGGTACTGTTAATCTTCGATCGAAGATAAAATTGTAAACATTCTAATACCAGTCTCGTTGGCGTTTTGAAACTTAATAGTAGTTTTGACAGTTCTTAAACATTGCTAAATCTCTTTACTCTTGTAAATCATTTCGTCGTAATTCCTTAATAACGTAAGTAATAATTATGCAATACCCATTTGTAAGTATTTTAATTCATTAAGTTAATTATAATGATATTTACAATTACTGTATTAACTTGAAAATCTAGTTTCTAAACGGCTTCATAGGTTTGTCTATGGAGTTCATTGACATTTCACATTTTATATTTACTCAACAAAATTCACTCAAAAAAATAATAAAAAACAAACAACAACAAGAAAATTAATCAATACAATTTTAACAGTGAAATTTTTAAGTATTTTGTCCTCAAACTAAGATAAAATTATAAAGTAGTGACATTAGAGGTAACGTCAAACCGTGAATCCGTTGGAAAAAAGTTACAGCGGTAGTCTATAGCTATAATGCCATGCGGGAGAACTGTCACAAAAGATGTCAAATGGCTTCACTCAGGAAGGTCTTTATTTACTCCTGAATTTAATAGAATTTGTACTAAACATCGTGTTTAGTGTAATAAACTGTGTATTTATAATATTCAAGTTGTTATTACATTACGTTTTTAATGTAAACATGACAGAAGCGCCGAAAAAGAAGAAGAAAACTTCGAATGAACAACATAACCAAACTGTTGCGTTCCGTGGTGTTATTGATGCAAACTGGCAAAAATTCTTATCAAGCAACCTCATTATGGACAAGAAGACGGAGAAACCGGCACAGGAAAATAGTAAAAACCAATTTTCAGGTACATTCCGCCGTGCTAGAAAGAAAAAAGCCAAAGATCACGATAAAGTCCAAAATAACTTAAAAACTCTGAATTTGACGTCAAACGCGGATAGTATAGTCAATAACGTAGATAAAGAAGTCAATAGTGAATCGAATAATGTTAATGGTGTTGTTAAAAACAATAATAATAGTAAAAAAAATCGACTTACGAAATTTCTTGCTATGGATTGTGAGATGGTGGGAATCGGTTATGGTGGCAACGATCACATGTTAGCTAGGGTGTCTATAGTCAACAAATTCGGCGACTGTATATACGACAAGTTCGTAAAAGCGCGAGAAGAAGTCAAAGACTATAGAACGGACATCAGTGGTGTTAGAAAAGAGGATTTATTGAATGGCGAAGACTTTACAGTTGTCCAGAAAGAAGTTTCTGAACTCCTTAGAGGTCGTATACTAGTTGGGCATTCGTTGAAGAATGATTTAGCTGTTTTGTTTCTGTCGCACCCTAAGAGGAATATTAGAGATACATCCAGATATAAACCGTTTAGGAAGGTAAGCATACCATATTTTTTGTTTTATTCTTAGTATAAGTCTAAAGGACCAGTTGAAAAAGTTGTTTCGTTGTCTAGATTTATATTTCTGTATAGACTGTATCTGAAATCATTTATTTACGAATGATAATTTTTGAGAACCTTTTTAAAAACATATACAGGGTGACTTGGTAACTCGACGTATTCCTCTCTGTCTCTCTCCTTTGTTTAGATTAAGAGTGACTGTCACAGAGATGAAGAAGCGTGTGCATTACACTTTGAACAAAATTTTGTAAATAATGATGTTTTTGAAATTGCTCGTTTTGCTTTACACTTATCTTATCATTAAGTTTTAATTTATTTTTGAGAATTTTATAAAAACTCGGATGTGCACGAATATCTGCAGATTCCGACAGTCAAAAAAGAAATAAAGAGTTCATCTGTGTCTTACAAACAACACCTTGAGCGACACATTAACCATCTGGCTTCACAGCTCATAAACTCAGACAACTGCTTGTCTCGACTGAAACGAAAGCAACTAGCATCTATATAAATCCACTAGCTTTTAACCGCGGCTTCGCTCACGTCACAAAAGGATAAAAAGTAGCCTATGTGACATATACCAATACATACAGCGCCATCTATACCAATACTTTTGTTTTCCCTCGGGAATATCAAACTTCTCCGGGATAAAAAGTACCCTATTATTTAATCCGGACTTCTAACTTTACGTCTGCAAAAATTCAAAGCAATCGGTTTAGTAGTTACGGCATAAAAGTGGAACAAACAAACAAACTCACTTTCCGATTTATAATATTAGTAAGGATTAATAGGGAAAAAAGAAGTAGAGTTAGCATGTCACAGGATGTGCAACTCTCCAAAGTCCCAAATGCACATCATCTCATCTGATTAAAGCCGTATCGGCTGATTGTAGATTTGAGGAAAAAAATTAATTGGCTAGCTAATAAACAGTAATATATACTATATTTTTTTTAAATAAATCCAGCTTTCTATACTGCTTTTATGCTTTGTACCAAATTCGTGACTTAAAACAGAATTTGATACTAATTTACTTGCTAATTTAATCTGTCAAACACCAAGCGGTCACCGGTGACGGTGACCTATTGTTCTTTAATTGTGTCTATAAAACCGGTACTCGACGAGTTAATCGCATGATTTTTCTGAAAGTATTAGTATTAATAAATGTTTATTGATGTATTAATAATATATTAAAACTAAAATCACTTAAATTAAACCAGTATTTTTTTATTTATTGTTTTTTTTGTAATTCGATCTGGATTTCTTCACCAAAACTGAAAATGTTGAATATCTCAGAAACTGGCCACTTTCATATCAGAGACCTCAGGGCAGGGCAGGCAAATTTTGTAGGAAAAAGTTGTATCATCACCTCCTGAGAGGAATATGTCGAGTTACAAGTCACTCTGTATATATAACAAAATCCAACAGGAATAAGTAGCACCTATGTACTGTTATTTTATAAATGTGTTATCCTCTGTGCTGTTTGTGCAAAATATAAAATAAATAAATAAGTATTTTTAATGTACTAATTTAGTTACAAGAATCATAATTATTTGATTTTGCAAATTAAACTGTCAAACACCAAGCGGTCACCGGTGACCGCGATCTATTGTTCTTTAATTGTGTCTATAAATACGGTACTCGACGAGTTAATTACCTATATAGTATATCAAGCTCAAACCAATTCACAATACTACCAAAAGTCCAATCTTATATCTTATACTATTATAAAAAGCGGAAGAGTTTGTTTTTTTGTTTGTTTGTTTGAACGCGCTAATCTCCGTAACTACAAGTCTGATTTGAATAATTATTTTGTGTTGGATAGCCCATTTATCGAGGATGGCTATAGGCTATAAAACATCACGCTACGACCAATAGGAGCTGAGCAGAGCGTGTGAAACCGCGTGGAAGTAGCTAGTAGTAATATAATTAAACATGCCTTAGGGGTCATCCATAAATTACATCACACGAATTTCATGATTTTTGCCCCTCCCCCCGTCCTTGTCACAGCTAGTCACATATGTGAGAACCCCCCCTAGTGTGACGTCACATTTTGCATAATTAAATATGTATAAAATTATTCAATAGAAACAGCGGTTTCGAAATCAGGTTTATTTCTATTTAAATTACTTTAAAAAAATAATAATACCGAATCAAATAAATAAAAAAACATTAATACATTAAGTAAAATCGCGGGTTACTCACGTGTATATACTGAGAAAAGCTCAACTAGTTTCGAACCACAGAGGGGTTCTTCCTCATGAGCAGCGTGGGCGGTCGCGGCTACGTCGCGCAGCTTGCTCTCAGCTCAGGTTCGAAACTAGTAGAGCTTTTCTCAGTATATTCACGTGAGTAACCCGCTATTTTACTTAATTTAGTATGTCTCACGATAGTTATAAAAACAAAACATTAATACAATTATATTTCGTATTTTATAATAGTTTTTGAAAGGTGACATCACAATGTTTAGGATCCCTCCCTCCCCCTTGTCACACAATGTCAGAATTCGTTGACCCCCTCCCTACCCCTTAACGTGTGACGTAATTTATGAACGGCCCCTTAATTATTTAAAGCCACCATCATTCCCTACAACTCAATCCTTACTATATAATATATAATATATATAATATATAATATAATATTATAAATCGGAAAGTGAGTTTGTTTGTTTGTTTGTTTGTTCCGCTTTCACGCCGTAACTACTAAACCGATTGCTTTGAATTTTTGCAGACGTAAAGTTATAAGTCCGAATTAAATAATAGAATATTTTTTATTATGGAAAAATTCGATATTCCCGAAGGAAAACAAAAGTATTGGTATAGATGGCGCTGTGTGTATTGGTAGATGTCACATAGGCTACTTTTTATCCTTTTGTGACGCGAGCGAAGCGACGGGTAAAAGCTAGTTTTTAATAATCCTCTTTTCCAAAATTTCAGATCACAAAAGGCAGTACACCGTCACTCAAGCGTCTAGCCAAAGAGATTCTGGGTATAGACATCCAATCCGGAGAGCACAGCTCCGTGGAAGATGCTCGAGCAACCATGCAGTTGTACTGTAGCGTCGCTCGCCAATGGGAACCGACGTTAGCTGACAAACGAGGCAAGAAAAAAGTCAGTGCGGATGATGAATAAGTGAAAAAAAACAAACCATTCATTATTTTCAAACTGACCGCAGCCATCACCGTTGACCACTCTCCAATAACTCCATTATACCTTCCTCATCATCAACAGCCTATAAATGCCCACTGCTGAGCAAAGCCTCTTCTCACACGGAGAAGGTTAGAGCATTAATCACCACGCTTGCTCAATGCGG